GAAAAAAAGACTATAAAAGTGTATACAGACAGCCTAGCAGCATTAAAAAACCTTAGCAAAACAATTTAAGATACAGGTGATGTCAGAGTTCTGAAAAAGAAAAATGTAATGTGGCTAATGAACATTGTTAATTTAGTCAAAAGCAAAAATATTAAAATAGAACTGATTAAAGTCAAAAGCCACAGTAATAACAAATAGAATGACAGAGCAGATGTACTTGTGAAGAAAGAAGCAGTATGTAATAAGACAATATTTGCAAAGAAGGTCAAGTATAAAAAAGTAGAGTACTACTTGGAATAGAAAAACAAAAAGGTTGATATATCAACAAAACTTCTTTGCAAAATAGTAAACAAATGCCAGAATTGGAGTCAGTTGAAGAAAAACAAACACAATCTGAATATTAGAACCAGAAACAGAAAATATACAATATAATTGGTCAAGTTTTAAAAAGAAATGAATAAAGCAAAAGGTGTATACTGTACAACAAGAAAACTTAATACTAGATAGGCAATAGCGATCAAATGCATAATAAACAATCTATCAATACTAGAAGAGTTAAATAGAAGAAGACCAGAGATTTATACAGTAACAAACTGCCAAATTTGTCAAAAAAATGAAAAGAAAACTCAAACACACTTAGCAAGCTGCAGTGAACAAAAAAGCTTGTAGAAAAGGATCCAAAAAGTAGCAATAGCAACAGTATAGAACAGTCTTAAAAAAAGTAAAAAAAACAGAATTTTATCTCTAGTCCTATATAAAGCATTATTTGGAAAACAGAAGGTCAATAATAAAAGGATTAATTATGACAAAGGTTGAAAAAAGACTCGAACAGATTCTAAGTAGACAGATGACACAAAAATGCATAGATATAATAATAAAAACAGTATGGAATACTTTTTCTAACCAAATATGAAAAGTTCAATGTGAAAAAGTGCAGAAATAGAAAAAAATCAATATAACAAGCAAAATAAAGAAAGGAGTTTGAATAAGAAAAAAATCAAAAAAAAGAATAAAGAAAGACAAGCTAACAAAGAAAAAAGAAAAGGAAAAGAAAGCAGAAAAATTGAATTAAGTAAAGAAAGAAGCTTGGAAGACAATTAATAGACTTGTTATTGAAGGGACTTTAAGTAGTTAAATAAGCAGTCTATCTCTAACTGAGATAGTGTGACAGGTTGTACTTAGGTACCAATTGGGTAGCCAAGTAATGCTAGACTTAGATATTAGGAAAATCTATGTAATTATAAAAATATATAGTTTCAAGAATCTTAATAAAGTACAAGTATTAGTAAAAAAAAAAACTCTTTCTGGAAAATAAACAAAGAAAAAGCTGAGCAAATTTAAATAAATAATAAATTACTAGAATGATAAAGAAAACAACAAAACTAGACTGCAATACTACTAAACAGACAAAATAAAGCACAAAAGAAATACAACAATAACTAAAAACACAACAGCTGAGCAACAGGCCCATAGGCCAACATACAAATTTATGTTTGAAGCAGCAAAACAAATCCAAATGGAAAGCTATAATACTAGAAGTAAGGCCAGTAGAAACAACAGAAAACAAACCCAAAAGAAAACAAAACAGATATAGATAGTACAGCTTCAAAGACAAAAAAACTTTGTACCAACTCTGCTTTATCATACAAAGGCCAAAAAGTAATGAAACTGAAATGCCCTTGGTAAAATCAAAAATGACATCATTACCAGATTACAACAACAAAACAAAACTGGTTCAAACAGGTTCTAACAATGAGATGCCAGAAATAGAAATAGACAACAACAACTTATTTGAAACAGGCAACAGAACATGATAACACAACAAACCAGCAGCACAAATATAACACTCAATTAGAATAGCATAGTAAACTTACAAAAACAGACACAAGATCACAACAATGAAGCACTATCAACAGAAAACCAAAATACAGCACCACTAGCAAACAGTGACAACATGAAAATAGAAATCAATAGTAATACAACAGCAGAGCAACCAGTAGCACAAGTGACTTATAGCCAAATGGTATGAAAAAACTTAACACAGCCTGACAAAAAAAAAAGCACAAAACCAAATGACTATACAGAAGAGTAGATACAAGAAATTAATAGAAGATTAGAAAAAGAAGTAGATCAAGTTTTTAACAAAGCTTAATAGATCTATGATAAAATAGTAATTGCACTTCAAAACAAAGAAGAAATCCAAAAATTCATTTAATATAAAATGCATACTAAACCTACAAATCAGGCATTACATCTAGCAATTGAAGCTAAATTTAGACACAAAAATACTACCTTCTTTCTTACTTTTATGAGAGAAAAAAAATTAACTTCACAGCATCAAGAAGTATATAAAAACCTCTTTCAAGAAGCTCTAAAGAAATACAAAACAAATAACAAAATAACTATGACTGATAAACAAACAAGAGACTTGATCTACCAAAAACTATGACAAAAAATTATGATTAATTATTTAACTAACACAAAGTTTTACAGAATATTAACAAAGCAAATCTACTATTTTATTAAATACTACAAAGGATTCACCAAAAATAAAACAATTGGAAACAATAAAGAACTATATAAGATAGTACAAAAAGCAACTACACTACACTTTGAACAACTATTAGCTAATCCTAACCAAATTCCACAAAACATAATTCAGATACTTCCTTTTAACCTGCCAATAAAATAAAGAGATCATACCAAAGCAGTCACTACAGCTTTATATAGATTATATTAGTTCGATAAACTACCAGAAGCCTATTTTACATTACTAGAAACACTGCCAAATAGAATTGCAGATCTAAACTCTAAAATAAAACATTTGTTTCCAATTACAGAGAGAAGTCAGCTTAGAGAACTTGCAAACATAACTAGACAACTAAGAAATTATTATTCTTTTGATAGAATTCCAAATAATTATTTCAATCTACCATCCTTAAAAAAACCATTGCTTATAGTCTACCAAGATCTGAAACCTACATACAGATTGCACTTTCCAATAGATCTACAAAACCCAGATACAAACTTTACAGAAACAATTCAAATGCTTAGAAAAGATTATTTTTTTGAAAGATTATCTAATAACTGCTTTCTAGCAAAGCCAAAATTACCAAGAAAAACTAACAAAATTTGAACAACTGATAAGTTTTATATCCAATTATAGACAAAATATAGGCAAAAAAGTTTATTCAACAAATTAGACCATGGTATAAGTTTTTACTTCTATTACCTCCCCATATCATAACAGTAAATCCAACAGACAATCCAGACCTATCAGAGAACCTACAAGAAATAACAAAATACAACCTAATACTTCCAATAACAACATGTAAAAAGCTCATAACAATAGCAAGATTACTGAAAGAAACCTACTATTTTTATAAAATTCCAACAACTTGAATTCAAATAAACCAACAAACAAACCAAATACAACCTAAATCAGAAACTACGAATACACAAAGCAAACCTAATATTTCTTAAACCTTAATCAAACTACAAGAACAGCTAAAAAAAATTACAGATTCTATATATATTAACATACCAATAAATCAACAAAAAGATATTACAAACATCTTGAAGATCCTTTGAGAGCATTTTTATATAGAAACAATATCTGACTATTTATTATAACTATCACCACTCTTAGAACTAAACTAAGATATTTTTATATAAATCTAATGCTATCACAACCAAATACAACAAACAAGAACAACCTAAGCAAAATATCAACTGAATACCAAAAAAATTACAATATACTTAAAAATATAAAAATTCTAATACACAACATTCAAGGTGCAAATGAAAAACTAAAAATGCAAATATGGCTAGAATTTTGCTACAAAAACAATTATAACATAGTTAGCATGATTGAAACAAAACTTGCCAAATCAACTTACTCAAAATTCAAACTATTAAACCTCTACTATAACATATATATATCAAACAGCACTAGTAAAGTTGTAAAAAAACAAGAATCAAGCATGGGCACTCTAATTGCAATATCCAAGTTTCTCCAACCATACATATATAACATTAAAACAATATTAGGCACAACAATAGCAATTGACTTTTTCTTTTCACAAAACCAAAAAATAAGAGTGATACCTGCTTACATACCCTCTAATAACAAAAAACTAAATCAAAACACATAACAATAAATAGCTACATGGATTACCTATAGCCATACCTGCAACTACAGTACTATAGTTCTTGAAGATTTCAACTATGATAGACAAAAACACAAAACTCAGCCTGCAATACAATTGTTTACAGCAATGCAAACCCACAGTATGAATAGTCTTTTAAAATATTTTGATATAAACTCATCTATCTGGACAAAAGAACTACTACAAAGCCAAATAGATGATATATGGATATCAAGCATACTGCTATCCAATATAACTCAATCTGAATTAATTAATGCAGAGCTTATAACAAATAGTGATTATAAAATAATCTCAACAATATGACAACCTAATATAAATATTAAGAAATACAGACCAAAGACAAAGAAAAGATCAATATTTCAATATAACCAAATGAAGCCTAATGACTGGATAGAATTCAAAAATGACATCAACAAGTACCTAAAACAACAAGAAAATAAACTTTCTCAAATGATTAGTACAGAAGAAGAACTAAACAAAAGCTGGCATATACTAAATAAAGCAATCAAACAGGCAGCTAACAACAATATACCCAAAACTAAAATAAGTACTAAAACACATTATACCTTCTTCAAAAAAGCTACAAAACTTCATGCTGCTCTACAAAGTATTAACCAAATTATCAAATACCTTAAAAAAGACAATCTGAATCTAAACTTATTAACAATTCAAGAGATTAATCATAAAATTAACAAGATAAACAACCATACAGAAATGCAAATACCCAAGCTTAACCAGTTGCACAACATAAGCACAATACTAGAAAATATCTTGCAACTATTAAAACATCAACAGAAAGCTATTTATTAAGCCAGAAAAATAAAATACAACATGGCTCACAAGCAAAAAATTAAAAACAATATAATTAAACAATATAACAACTTTGCAACCAATATCACAAAGATGATAAACAGTATACTACAAAGGCAAACAGACCTAGTAGTACTAAACAACATTATACATTCTGACAAAGTTACAACAGAACCACAAGAAATCAAAAAAGAAATTAAAAAATATTTTGAAGAATAGACAAAAAGCAATCTCATAAACAACAACTACTGAAAAGAATGGCAAGAACAATATATGTCACAAAAAAAATAAATAAGTTATGATAAAATGTAATGTTAGACTCTATAACCATACATAAACTTCAAATTAATATAAAAAAATTACCAAATGAGAAAGCCACCAGGCTATAACAAATATCTATTAAAATGCTAAAGCATTTAGATAATTATACTTTAAACCTATTACTAAAAATCTTTAATGCATGCCTTATGCTCAATACAATTCCCAAAATATGAAAGCAAAGAATATTTATTCAATATTAAAAAAGCAAAAATTCTCTGGAAAACTCAATGAAACATGTCTAATTACCTTAATTGAACATACATAAAAAAAATCTTTACCAAAACAATAACAAAAAGATTAAACACAATATTTAACAAGTATCCAATTTTACACTCTAGCAACCATGTCACAATCCCTAATACATCAACACAAACATCAATTGCTACACTAGTACATATTCTAGAAAATGCACAAATTCAGAACAAAGAACTATGATTACTTAGCCAAGACATGTTCAAGGCATATGACACAATCTACATTCTATTACTTAAAAAAGCTCTAGAGAGAATAAATATTCCAGAAGCTACAACAAACCTAATTACAAACATTTTTACTAATAGGTCAAATTATGTAATAACAAACTTTGGGCTAACAGAATCATATGAAGTTGAAGATGAAATAAACTAAGGTAAAACAATAGCATCACTTCTGTAATGTATTTACTATGATTCACTGCTTACAAAGATATACAACAGTACAAAAGACTGCTCACTTAACACAACATATAATGAGCAAAATAGAACAAAAAACCTCCAAACAAACTTACCAGCATTAGCCTACATGGATGATACTATATAGATAGCCTAATCCAAACAAGAATTACAATCAATCCTCAAAACTGCAAGTTCATTCTTCTCACTTACAAATATAAATGTAAATTCAAACAAATCTGTGCTTGCAGTAACCAATTCAACAATTAGCAATCCAAATATAATATACAACAATATAATAATTAAGGCAATACAATCAAAAAAGGTCTTTTGCTTTCTAGAATGCTAGTATACTACCTATAAGAACCACAACCAATCCACAAAATCATTAAAGAAAAAGCTAATAATGCTATAAGAAGAATTAAAAATGCAAGCATAACAGAAAAACAGACTATATACATTATTAATACTGTTATATTAACTTGAATAGCATCCAGAGTTCAAAACACTTACCTACTTATGCAATTATACAAAGCAATAATAAACTATTATATAACAATAGTAAAACACAAAGCTGGCCTTGCATAGACAGTACCCAACTCAATACTATTCTACTATCAAATTTATAGATTACAAACTGTCACAAATATTTAAACACAACAACACATCTTCCTTATATACCAACAGCTCAATTATGCTAAACTTTCAAATCCAATGCTAAAAATATGCACCAACAAATTCAAAATGCTACCTATAGCAACAAGTTAATATTAACCAATAACATATATATATTGCTACAAAAAAAATCAAAAACATCATTAGCAAGAATGCTATACAGCATACAGGAAATAGGAATAACTTTCCTAAACAGCAATAACAATTGGCCAAAAACAGCAGAACATAAAGATATACCAATAGATATGGTACTTTAGCAAATTAACAAACCATATCTAGTAAAGGCCAAACTCAACAAAATTGGATTGCACTCTATCGAACAATGCACTAATTACAAGAATACAGATGTACTAACATGGATATAAATACTACACACTATACTATATATACTCAGAGAAAAAGAACATAAATGGTACAAACTTATAACAGAAAACATAAAACAAAATCTTAGCAACAACAACTACAATTTTGTTACTCCAAACCTATTTACCTTTAATTCATATCAAACATTTGAAAAGGCATCCTAGATAATAAAAAAGAATACACCAGATAGATACATAGGACAAATATCATCTATAAAAAGCAACCAAGCAACAATCAACCACTGGATAATGGACAATACATCCACCAAGCTGAAGCTATGCAGAGGATGTTAATAGAATAATACTAATCTCAAAAAAGAAAAATGCACAAGCAAAATCAAACTATATAACCTTTAAAAAATATTAATAAATAGCAAAAAATTTATAAGAGCAAACATACAAGATCAAGAATACACAGCATTCAACTCAAATAGTAAAACACAAAACCAAAACAACACTGCGAAAAAATATAAACTAACAGAAGAAGCAATAAAAAATTTAAAACAGCTAGTTATCTACAAGAGCTACAACAGAAATGTAAACAATACAAAGATATTATTTTTCAACTAATCCAAAAACAACAATTAACAATATATAACAAGATACAATAATATGTGATATTCTAAATTTAAAACTGCAGTTCAAAACAGTGCTATCTGAATGGCCTACAACAACTAAAACACTTATCATGACCTTAATACTCAGCTCAATAATAACACCAAATAAGACAAGAATTCAAATTATTACAGGCAAAAATCATTTTGCAAAACTAGCCCAAACAGTTTATGCAACTATAACAAACAATATATACCAAATATATCACTTAAACAATTGGCCAAGTTGGCTGACATGAAAAGTACTAATTGTAAAAAAAAATCTAAACTATATATTTTTAGTAAATGATCCTATAACATATACTATGAACATATACTCTTCTACTGTAGAAATAGAGATAAGTCACAAAAATATACATTATGATGTTCTATATCCTATATAGCAAAATACACCCATCGAACATAATATTAAAAAATTCATTCATATACACAAAATGCACAACACATAGCATACTAACAATCACAAGCATGAGCTCAAATATAAAATACTATTTGCAAAGACATAGATTGAAAATCTTTCTACAACTACATAAATTACCAATGTTCACCAATACAGAAACAAACAAACCCAAAATACTTATAACTAAAAGCATTTAAACTAAAATTACTACTAAAAGAGTTACCAATATTAGAAGTATTACACAAATATAATAATATAAAGTACCCTAACTCAACATGTACAAGATGCCAAGCAACAACAGAAAGCAACTACCATTTGATAACCTGTGACAGCAATAGCATGAGCTTACAGAAAATAATAACAAAAACAGTCAACAAAACTCTAACCAAATATAAAGTTGCAGATATCAAAACTAGACATCAAATCATAACTTTAATAACTCAAAGTATCTGTCTAACTAATTTACAAACACAATTAATAAGAGTTATACTGAAAATGCTTTTCCAAAACAGTATAAGACTGATTAACAAAATAGCAAAAGTACCAAAATTAAAACACAGTCTATCAATCTACTTAATGCATAAAATTGTACAAAAAATATATAAAGAAATGTGAATAACATGATGTAAGGAACAATATAACAACTCATCAAAATCAAATATCTCATAATAATGTAAATATACCAACAGTTTCAACAGCAATAACAAATACTCATAATATAGAACTAACTGAATCAAAAATAAAAATTAAACTTGAAATATAAAGAAAAATGTTTATAAATCACAATACCTTATCAAATTATATCAATACAATTATAGACTAAATGGGGACTTTGACCCTCTTTAGCAAAGTCTGAGTTATAAGTAAAGTAGTCTAAGCCTTAGCTTTCAGAGATTAAATAATATGTACTACAGATAAAAATATATTTAGATATTAATAATTAATAAAGAAATTGAGACAATACCTCACTTTTAAAAAAAAATTAAAAATAAAGTACTAGTATAACTGCTTAAAATTAAATTAATAATAATAATAATAATAATAATAATAATTTGTTTTATAACAATATAATTAAGTTTTTATATCATAAAGATAACATTATTTCTGAGTCTAAAATCTAATTAAAAATTTGTTCTAGGATTGGTGTAATATGTTCTTTAGTAAGTTTATAAAACTTATATATAAGGCTATTCAACTCTAGAAATTTGTTGTTAAATAGTTTTTTAATAACTTTCGAAATTTCTTTTTAGAAAATATGTTTATTAGCTTGTTATTTATTTGAAAAGAAGTCTGTAAAAGATTTTTGATAATTTGTTTTGCTATTATATTAGCAATTTTTTTTTTCTATATATTTTTGTATATTGTTCTTTAATGTAGTTAAGTACTTTTTTTTATTATATTGTTTTTGAGTAGAGGATATTTGTATTTCTGCTAGTGCTAAATATAAGTTTAATTGTTATTACTATCTGTTTGCTAACTTAGCTAATTTTGACTAAATCTGTAAGTTGAATATATCTAATATAGTAAAAAAATGCATCTAATTAGAGTTTTTGACTATAGTTTCTTTTGTTTAACTAACTTTTTTTAGTCTTTCTATTTTATCTTCTGGTGTTTTAGACTTTTTAAAAGCTTTTATAATAGATTTAATATAAAGTTTATGCATATCTTAGTCTGTTGCAACAGTAGCTTCTTGAATTTTATTTAGAACTTCTTTTTTTAGAATATTGGTTTTAAAAAAGTTTATATCAAATTTCCAAAAAGCTGAATGTCTAAATTTTTTTTTTAAACTTAGAATGCATTTAACTAATAGATGATCTGAGTTTTTAAATCTTGTTTTTGTTTTTGATTTTAGATAACTATAGTTTTTATTTATAAAAATATATTCTAATTGAATGGCTATTATTTGATTGCTATATGTTTTTTGGTAAAAAGTATAAAAAAAATTTTGTGATATAAAGAATGCAGAATCTATGAAATTCTTCATGATGGCTTTGAAAAGTGATCTTGAAGTATTATTTTGAGCATTTGCTTGACTCATTTTGTTAATTTCAGGGTTTAGGTTTGTATTTAGATCTTCTGCCAGAATGTTAACCATGTTATTTTTCTTTTTAATTAACCAATTATTAATAAATAAGATTTTATTCAAGATGTTTATTGAAGTATAAACATTAATTATATTAAAAGAAATTTTTTTCAA